CTGATGTATATTCTCAATATACACTTTACTTTTGCTTTTACTTACATGGGAAAGTGACGATCAAAGGAAGGAGTTGCATATCATAGTAAATTGTTATAGAATGCATAATCCCTTACCGTAATTTGAAGGCCTGCTATTATCCTCGAAATATTGGGCTAATGGGAAAGGGTAATGAACAGGGGACAACTTATAAGACTGACTACAGGTCACACCACATCTGAATAGCAAATGACCACTATCAGTGATTTTGCTAAAGACAGTTAATTATTATATTATATATTTCATGAACAGGCGCAACATTTTGGATTTAATAATTAGTGCTTCAATTATTCCTGTTGTAGTGTGGGACTAAAAGTAGTGAAAATCCACAAGTTGAGATGGTGGCAGCCTGCCATTCACAAATGGCATCTGTCCCTGAACACAGCTTCAAACAGTACTCTGCTTCTTTGAATTCGTTAGGGCAGATGAAGGTTTTATCTAGGTAGACGTCGATAATAGTTGACGACAAGTTGTTGTCAGTCGATTGCTAAACATCCAGTCGCTGAAATAACACTTTAGAAAATGAGTGATTTGAGGACGGTTTAGTTGCCTTCGCGATGTGTCCATAACTAGACAATCTGAGGAAAAAATGACATCCAATTTTATCACAGAATCGCGATATGGCATTGAAGCTCAGTGTCACAATCAGTCCACAGCGCAGTCGCATCATATTTTTCTGACGAAAAGGATAGGGTGATGGCCACTTGATTCTTCCATCTAGAATCGTGGTGAGGTTGTCAATGTTTCCTAATAATCCATAAGCTTATTTTTGCAAAGCGTGAGGCATTTTCATGCTCAGTGACGTTGTTCCTATACAGGGGAAGTTAAGTTGCCCATGTTGCCTTTCTTGTACTGTCAATTTTTCTTATAAAATGCTGAATGCCGTTTACGACATATGCAATGCCGTGATATACATAGCAAAAAGCGTCTTCGAGTTCTTCAATATTAATGCTTAAAGATCATTCGGGACACTGTTCCTTGCGAAACAGTTTCTTTATGCTTATGCTCCTGGCCTATTTAATCATAGTAGATTTTTCTCATAGCTGTTCCATTTCAGTTTCAAATATGATTTTCTGATTGACAAAGACTATGCAGTCACCCGCAACGTGGAAGTAAATAATGGCTCTCCATTGATGTACGCCATTGACGCATGTATGGACATCCGTGTATGCCTTGTAATTTTCATTAAACATTCCTCATTCTTATTTAATTCAACGGAATTAAAATATTAAATGAATCTGATTAATGAATTTAGTTGAAATTAAACTGATTTTGACGCAAGGCGACATTAACAGATTATAACGAATATTAATCAACGGCAAAGTATATATTTAAAGTACGTTAGATTAATTTTACTTTATTTCGTTTCATGTCAGTTAAAAAACGCAGAGATTGTTGGCTTGCTTACAGCAGCTACAAAAAGTAAAAGAACTTTCGAAATAAATACTCCAATATAGTGTTAGCTCAGTTACACAGATATTCTAGTAACATTATTAGTAGTTTCCTTCTAATTATCATAATAAATGACAGTATATCTAGGAAAACACATAATTGATACTGAAGACACTCCATCCAGTGGTACCGATGACGAACAGGCCTGCGCCAAGTGCGATAAACACGCCAGCTGCATCGTACAGGGTCAGATGACGAAACATGTGATATGTGTTTGTAAAGCCGGATATTTTGGAAACGGGACTTATTGTGAAGGTAATAATAAGTAGTAAGCGAGATCTGGTTCTACTTGCAATTCGCATGCTTATGAAGTTGCTAGACGATAACCGGGATTTAATCTAAACTGCAGATCGGCTGAGCGTCCATCAGTAGACTTTGTTTACGCCTCACGACCCAACAATACGTATGAGACAATATGACATGTCAGTCGTACGAATAAGTTTTCTGGTTTTTGTTGTAAATTTGAGTCTGATTAGACTACTGCGTATTGTCGCACATTTAGTGTCACACGTGATTCATGTCCTCAACATTGGACAGAATGATTTTGTTCACGCCGCTCGTCTTTCAGTTTTTAGATCTATCAGTGACTACAGGACAGCAGCCTTTCTCCTACTACTTTGGACACAAGCAAGAATTAAAGTACGAAGTTTCTCGTAGGATCCATAACTTCTTCGACGAAGGCTTATGCTTTTTCTAAAACGTATTTGGTTTGGTCCTGCCGTTCCATACTGCTGTCACTGTAAATTACGATCTGAGATTGACATTGTGATAAAAACTTATGAGTAACGATTTATTCGCTCGAAATTATGTCCACTTATTTCTCCTCTCCTCTTGCTCTGAACCAATAGGTGTATAGGTTTGTACAAATAATAAGCTCCATAATATAGAGCAAAGTTTTTGCAGGAAAAGTTTTGTCTCATTGACGGGGACGGTGGTATTTAGTTACTTGACGTTCTAACGCAATGACTGAGATTTCAGAGGTTTATAAAACCCTTTCATAATTTCCTGTTTCGGCCCAGTACACAGCTCAAAGTTACATGTGAATACTGGTATAATAGAAATCAAATTTTTAAGTTGCTTTCAAAATTGGCAAGTAAAGAAGTAAAGAACAGTTCGTAAAAACGGTGTGTACAGAACAATGGTGTTGCTTTGATCCAATCAGAGCAGATAGGAAATTTATTAATTTGGAGGAAAATATAAAGAAATTATGTTCTCTAAGTAGAATAGACAAAATTTAATCTTTCTGGATATTTTATTTATAGCTGCTTGTGCAGAGACGGCAGGAGTGGTTACAGCGGTGTAGCATATCACCTTCAAGTGTTGCAAGCAGAGAGCTCAGTTAGTTTAGCACCTTTCATGCGCCTTGCTTCTCCAAACATCTTTTGGGTTATGGTGCAATTACGAACTTTAAAATCCTCTGCAGAACTACCCCATACTTTTGGATTGTTTCATGATTGGCTTATGGCCATCACTGCGTATTGCGCTCTACTGTATTCCTACATGTTCCGTGGGTCATCTTATCTTGTTTGGTATGTAACCTGTAGAATGAAAAACACCGGAAACGGCAAGTGGGTTGGCCTACTACAGATATTGCCTCTCTCATCCTTCCATCACACCGTGTAGTCAGAAGTCTTTCTCCTGGCAAACTTTCGTTGAATCTCTAAACAATCCAACAACCTTTGGTATCACTGTTCTGTTAGCCGATCGTTTCAGAGCTATGGTGGATCTTCGTGGCTAACAGAGAACCATATGCTGTATCTCACCCATCCGTTCAGTCCGTTTATGTGGATAGCAGAGGTTTAAAATTTACAGGCATGCATATATTCGGTTAAACTTTGAGAGCAAAGGGACAGTGGAAAGAGGTCGGCATCGATATTTGGAGGTGTCGACCTCAGATCCCAAAAAGAAAAAATCTCTTAACTGATCAATTCTTTCAGCAAGGGAATAGCTTCAGCGCAACTAACCATTAAACGGGACGTAAGTCACTGATTTGTTAACAACAGGGATAGCATGGCGTTCCGGGGTGACTGCATCAGAATGATGGGGGTACAACCATGCCGTTGATACGAGTGCCTGTTAAGGCTACAATTTGTATTGGTACACCTGGTCGTTGATTAATTCTGTGTGACAGTCAGAACAAGGTGTTAAGTCAAAACAAGATTGAAACATAACTAATCATGGTAGGTTTATTACTACACAGTTGTTAATGTCGAAACGAATAACGATTTTCTGCTGTCACAAGATCCGTGTACTCTGTCTTATAATTCTTTCATACTGATATCTAATGACTTGAATTTATGGGTACTATGTATCGCTAACTTCATCTGTGTATTTACACTTTAAGATTTGACGTCTTGTTCCAAGTGCCATCGAAACGCGGTTTGCATCGCTGACGGCGGCAGAGTGACGTGCAGGTGTTTTTCTGGATTCAAAGGAGATGGCATCAGTTGCCATGGTTAGAATCTAAAACTTCAAATGGTATTTGTATCACTTTTACATACCTTTCTTTTAGACATCGATGAGTGCCAAGAACCAGGTAGATGTCACGAGAACGCCATATGCGTAAATACGGTTGGCAGCTACAAATGCCGCTGTCCTGTTGGATATAAGGGTGATGGTCATAAGACGTGCCAGCTTATTGCTAAAAGTACCCGGTAAATAATAACTATGTGCTCTTGAATCTCTGATTTAGAACCTGC